CATATAACATTATAAATCAATTGCCTTGTTCCAAAATATGGATCTTGTTGATTGTAAGATGAATTGCATCATGTTCTCCATACATGGACCAAAATTTTGCCAAAAATGCCACTAGATTATTTAATATTGGATCTCATCGTTCATGATAAGATGAAAACTATGATAGTATTGAACCTAAAAGAAGTGTACCAATGAATAAAACTTGTGATCATGGAGTTGAATAGCTTTGAGGTTGAAGTTCAATCACAAGTTATACTTGATTGATAAATCCTCAAAATTTCGATCTTATACCATCAAACTTCTCGGACAAAATAATTCTTAGTTCTCTAACACTTATAGGATGTTCCGCCATAGGTAGAGGGACATGATTTGGTGCAGATATTGAAACAGCTTTAATCATCTCTATATCATCACTTTCTGCCATTTTTGTTGATCATTGTGGTGGTAAGCTAAGTTGATGCATCGTAAGCATGAACTTCTTCAATTGTTCTTGCATTTGTGCTATTCTTCATTTCAATAAGCTTTGCCAGAATAACACTAAAAAAAATATATCTAACACTACTCAAGACAAGTAGAAGAAAGGACTTGAGGACAAAGAAAATACTAAGAATAATATCAATTTAGAAGAGGATAATCCATAACTTCTAATATGTTTATGTCTTATCATGAGAAAGGGATAATCCACTCTTAATTAAGACAAAGCTCTGATATTGTAAGTATGCTCTTGTCAATCTGTCAAGGACATGAACTAAAAGATGATGCATAAATCAATGAAATCTATATCAAAGAAAGAATAACAAAATAGAAATAAAGAAGTACGTATTTTAAAAAGAAACTAGAATGGCTTATTGCCAAAAGATAAAAAAACTTGAGACTCTTGAAACTAGAATAGAAGCAAGAAAAAAATTGACAAGAGTGAAGAGGGCTTCACTCTTGTCTCTATATATACTATCTAATTAAGGGCTACATGGCGATGTTCTATAGGACGTCCAATATATGTTGACTTTGTAGGACACATGCCTTGACTTACAAGGCAAATTTTTTTACATATGCACCACATAATTACCTTGGTCTTTAAGCTAACAACATGTGTGGCACATGGCCAACTTATTGACCACTTTTTTAATCCAAAAAGTCAATTATAGATACCTATAAAGTCAAAGCAACATCTATGAAGCTTCTAAGAAGCTATTATAGAAGATATTATAGAATTAACTTACTTTTACCTATTTCTATTTACTTCTACTTATTTATACACATAATTACTAGCTTACATGTATATGTCCGTGACAACTTTTCATCCTCAAAGTAATAAGCAAATAGAACAGATGAATCATGTTCTAGAATAGTATTTGAGGTGCATAATCAACTATCATCAAGCTAATTGGACAACTCTTTTGCCATTGGCGGAGTTTACATATAATAATTTGGTATATTCTTCTAGTCAATAAACATCTTTATTTGCCAATTATGGTTATCATCTACAACTTGATACTTTTGACTTTTCAAATGTTGATAATCTTGTGGCAAAAGATTTAACAAATTGTTTGTCAGAGCTACATGCAACAATGAAGACACAATTAAAAGAAGCTCAAGAATGACAAAAGACTAATGCAGATGCCTATTGCAAGAAGCAACGACAATTAAATATAAGTCATAAGGTATGGTTACTTTATTGCAATATCAAGACTACTTGTCTTTGTAATAAGTTGGATTATCATAGCTTGGGATCTTTTCTTATTTGTGAATAAATCAATCTTATTGCTTATTGATTACATCTACCAAAGTCTATGAAGATCCATTGTGTATTTTACATATCATTTTTTGAGCCATATAAGACAATGAATATCTCAAGAAGAAGACAAATGCCATGTCTTTTTATAGAAGTGGATAATAATCAAGAATTTGAAGTAGAAGAAGTCTTAGATTCAAGGCTGCATGGAAATAAGTTGGAATATCTTGTTCATCAATATGGATATGATATCAGTGAATGCACATGAGAGCCATCAAAGAATCTTGCAAATACAACAAAGAAAGTTGAAGACTTTCTTCAATGACATCCATCAAAACTAAGATGAAGAATAACAAATCTTTGCTAAAAAAGAAACAAGACTAAAAGAAGATAATACTCTATTTTTTTATCCTTTTTTGTAGCTTATGTGTAATTAAAGAGATGGAGAACCAATAATCAAGAGATTCAACTCAAGAGCTTTCATTTGCAGACTTATCAGTTGAGACATTGTAATTGTCACAACCTTTAAGACAACAAAATCGAGATGAAGATCTTCAAGAATGACATGTCCTTCGTTGAATAAATGGCAAGATACAACGTGTTTGGTATGACAACCTTAGAAGAAACTCTCAATGTTTGGTGATTTTATTACAGGTAGGAACAACTCCTAACGGTGTTTCAAATATTTTATTTGAAAGAAGTTACAAATAATAGAGTGGTCTTCTTATCCTAGTATGGAATAATATTAATGGGTGAGAGGGCCTATCAACCATCTTTCAAGAGAACAAAGCTCGAAGTATGTGGCAAATACAATGTGTCGCATCTTGGACTTCTTCAACATATGAAGACCGCTTCTCATAGAACTCGTCTCTAGAAAGGGAGGCAATGTCATGGACATATATAGGTATTCTAGTAAATACCTATATGATTAGATAGGAATAGGTAAAAGTAGATAAAAATAGATTAATCTTATAAGACCTTTTAGAAAAACTTCCTAGAAGCTTCATAGATGCTGCTTGAATTTACATATGTTTGTAGTTGATTGGTAGATTAGAAACTTGGTCAACAAATTAACCATGTGTTGGTAGCTTATGGAACAAGCTAATTATGTAGCATACATATAGAAAACTTGCCTTGCAAGTTAAGATATTTTTCTTGCAAAGTCAACACGTTTTGAAGGTCCTATAAGACATTGCCATATAAGTCCTAATTAAGAGTATATATGGAGGCAAGAGTGAAGCCTTCTTCACTCATGTCAATGCTTGTCTAGTCCATAGTCTTGTTTCAAGACTTTTTAGTCTTCTTGTTTTTGACAATAGCCATTTTAGTTTAATATTACATCAGTTTTTGAATGACTTTGTAGTTCTCTTCAGTGACACAAGAGTGTATTGAAGATTTTCTTTCTTCGAGATTCATGTCCTTGATAATTTTTTTTTATCTTAAAGTTAAATTAAAATAAAATAAAATAATATATAAGGTGTCTAATAATATCTTAGAAATATTAAATAATCTAAATAAATTTACCACACTATGTTCAACATCAAATAAACTTTAAATAATTCTAAAAAAAATCCTAAATAAATTTCAATTAATTCCAAAATAATTACAAATAAGTCTAAAGAAATAAAAAAGAAATTCTAATTAATCACCAAAAATCATACAAAGATATTTAATAAATCTTAAAAAAATAATAAGGATACTAGAAAAATTATCTAAGAAACCTTAATAAATCCTAGTCAAATCCTAAATAATGATTGTAATTGTTTTTAAACCTCAATAAGTTTTAAAATAATTCTTTGTTTTAATTCAAATATCTTTAATATCTCAAATTATTAATAAAAAATAAATATAGATTTAAATATATATATATATATATATATATATATATATATAATATACAAATTGAGAGAAATGGCTTAAAATTTGCTCAAATGTTGATTGTTTCCTTCTCCAACCTCAATATAAATCTTCTAGCTTAAAAGTCTCTCTCTTTAATTGCTTGTTATGTGCAATATAATTTAAAGATATTTTAGTCATTTTTTTAATAATAAAAATCAAGTTAGAATTTTAAATAATTGGAAACTTATACCACTAACAAGATTCCACATAATTGAAGGATTGGAATTTAATTTTCAAACTTAAAATATACATAGTGTAAACTTAGATTTTAAAAAATGTTGTATCAAAATTCTTCAAGTTATTTTTTTAGATCTTATTTTTAAATATAGTTATGCATATAATTTATTTATTAATTTATTTAATATAATTTAGTCCTTATAACTTATTTAAATTTCTTTTTTTTATTTAATAATCCTAAAAAACATGTCTTATTTCTTAAAAAAAAAAATATTCATTATATTTTGGTTTAAAATTTCTAATTCTTTGCCTATATTTTTTTTAATATATTTTAATTTTTTTAGCCTTTCCATGCAATAATAAAATAGTATAATATCTTAAATAACAAAAAGGTAGAACTTAGAATATGTTTAGTAGGATAAATATATCCTTATTACTAATGTATTTTATATGTTACTAACATTTTACATTCATCATTTAAACTCAAATCCACATTCACATTATTATAAAATAGTAGAACATATTATTGAATACATACATTTAATACAACTATTAATCTTTTTGACAAAACATCTACAAACCATTACAAAAATTAGAATAGATGATTGTTTTGTAACATAACTAAAGTTGTGCCCAAGATCTACAACAATGGAAACGCATTGTATTACTACAACAAGCTTCAAATCAAGTATTAGTTAACTTTATAGAAACCTTCTTTAATCAAGTTTTTATCAATTTGGATATTTTGAAGTAGAATTTTTTACTTAACTAGATCAAGTTTAAGTAGTACAATCACCAACAAAGAATTTGAGCTTGTATTTGCAATACCAAAGAAAGCATATCAACATGTATTTGGTTAAAAAGCAGCCACATATCATAAAAGAAGTAATAAGAACAATACCAATAAAAATAAACAATTAAACTAAGTAGAATGACTCCTAAAAAAGACTAAAAAAAGACCAAATAAGTCATAATATAGAATAGTAAAGCAAACAAACAAACAAACAAAAACACATAAAATCAATCAGAATGTTCCAAAGCAAACACGAAGGCCAACTAGTTTTTTAAAAAAGAAAAAAGAAAAAAGAAAAAAAGACGAAAAGCATCAAAAGGCGAATGCTGGAAAAGTAAAAGGATACACTAACTCAAACTCCGCGGCAGTGAGTGACCGAGGCCTTCAAAAACACTTAGACATCGTTTGAAGAATTCTGAGCGCCAGTGATTCACGGCATTTGTCGATGATTTGATTCTGTAGCCTCTGTAATAACAATTGCTGGGGATAGGGACAGTGTTAGCAGTGCGCAGGGACCCTTCTCGGTGTTGGGATTCATAGAATTTGGTTCAATTTGTAAAGGATTTCGGTGACAGAGTTGTATTGAAAATGGGGCACTTGTACGCTCTGGACTTTGATGGGGTGCTGTGCGACAGCTGCGGCAAGAGCTCCATCTCTGCGGTTAAGGTTTGAACACTCAAATCCCGGCCTTTTGACACCAATCGCATTGCTAATGTCAATGTTATGGGGTATATCACTGTGGGATGGGTCTTGTAGGCGTGTTGAGCAATGTGTAGAGGCGTTTTGAGAACCTACCTGAAGCTGTATGGATTTTGGATTGTGGGCTTATTAAGAATTTGGACAGAATCGGGAAAGTTCGGGTGGTGGTTTTGGGATGAGTACCTGTAGCAGTGTGCGTAAGTTTCTGTTGCAGTGGTATTGTTAATTCAGATACCGTAGACGAAGCAATAGCCCTGCTATGTTTGTGGATCAAGCAATGCTCATTCAATGTGCTGGTGTTTGTTTTGTATAGTAGCTTCTCAGACCCCTCACCTGGTGGCAATGTCTATCCAATTACAGGTATCTTTCGTTGATGCGAGTGAAACTCGTGCAGTGATTTTGATGCAGAGTACACTCTGATTACGCCACTATGAATCTAAAGTAGACCTTTCCTGTCTACATTGTGTGAAATGTTGGTGCTCCAAAATACCGCTCCATGCATAAAACATTGAATGATCATTTCTGATTATATATGATTCAAACTACCTGCTATTTAGGGCATATCAGTGATTAAATCCTGAATTTTCTGATTTCCACCACCCGAACTGCTCTGTGCAGGCTGCCCAAATTCGGTATCCAGAGCTTTTCGCTGGCATGGATGCAGCTACAGAGACTTGGATCCTCTATACCATGCGCGTTGTAATGACTCACCCTTTGAAATGGACTTGAAATTATCGTGCTTTACAATTTAGTTGCTCTTGCAAAGTACTTATACAACCCCGGTTTTATAATTTTTGGTGATTCCTTCAAGTACATTTTACAAAGACAAGTACTTGACTTATTCATTGCCGTTACTACAACCTTACAGGTTCTGGGTTCTGATTCGACTTGGAGTCCAAATGGTCTTTATTCATGATAGCGTGCTCGTCCTGAGCAGGTGCGGCCTGTTGTGGAGTCTGGATATGAGAATGTTCTACTTGTGCGGCTGCTGTTGGAGATCACAGCTCCTCATCTGCGCAAGACCTTGGTATGCTATATTTAGAGGTCTCATATGCTGGAATTTGGTTGCCTTACTTTACTTCTTTCGTACATGCTTTACATAATGAGTCCTAGCCTGGCCCAAGTTTGGGATATTACATGGACGAGTTGATGAGTTTCAGCAATACTCTAATGTGGTGATCTGAATATACAGGTGGCGGGGAATTGTCTGTCGACGACATTTTAGCAGATTGGGAGCATGGCATCAAGCCAGTGCTGATGAAAGAATGGAGTGAGAACAAAGAGGATCTGGTAGATCTTTTTGGAAAAGTACGTGATGACTGGCTGGAGCACGATCTTCGCGGTTGGATTGGTGCTAATAGGTGTGTATTCATCATCATTTCATACTTAGTGCAGGTATTCCTTGTAGGTTAGTGTTCGAAGTGAGTATTCTCCTCTTAAATTATAAAGAATCAATATCATGTGTTTCATACTTCCACAGTTTTATTGCCGAATGCTTCATAATGGTTATACAGGCAATTGAGAACTTAAAAAATCATGTATGTCTGGGAATCTACATACAGGTTTTACCCGGGGACAGCAGACGCTTTAAAGTTTTCATCCTCTACCTTATTTATTGTGACAACAAAACAAGTAAGTTCTTCTGTCAGTTTGATAAGAATTCAATAAGAGCTAAGAGTTGAACTCTAAATATATCCTTGTTTCAAATAAAAAGGTGTTCATGTTCTCTTCTGCTCGGCTCACAAATTCCTTATTATAATATTATAGGCTCGATTTGCATCAGCACTACTGAGGGAAATAGGTGGTATTGACTTCCCAATGGACCGCATATATGGCCTTGGCAGTGGGTAAGCTTTCCTCCAACGTTCAGGCATCATTATGTTGGTACTCTTCAATCATAATTTACTTCTTGATAAGACAAACCCCACAGGGAAGAGTTTTTACTCTTCATGGTATTTTATTTCTGTGGTTTAGAAGTCTAACATGGACACTACCTATTCAGACCTAAAGTCGAGGTGCTAAAGAAGCTACAAGAGCGACCTGAACATGAAGGCTTGACTCTTCAGTAAGTTCATTCTCATGTTTCCAGCTTTTAATCCATCTCTTTGATGTCACGGTGAGCTTTAACATTTTCAGATCAAGTGTGTTAATGCGTGTATCTACTATGTAAACAGTTTTGTGGAAGCCAGGCTTGCCACGCTCCGCAATGTCATCAAGACCCCAGCTTTTGACAATTGGCATCTGTACCTAGGTACATTTATGACCGTTAGAAACTTTATTGAGCTTTGGTTGTGAGTTCTTGGCTCATGCGTGATTTTCTGTGTTTTTGATAGTGGTCCTTCTACCACGATTCCTATTATCTTACGAGATATGTGACCCAGTTGGAACCATGCTAAATGTAACTTTTCACTGGCATCACGAATTCCTGACTTTCAATGACCTGACCTGCAGGTACCTGGGGTTACAACACTCAAAGTGAAAGAGACTAAGCGGAGAGCATTTCACGTATCCACGTCGTGGATCTCCCCGACTTCTATGCAAAATTGAAGTAGAAGATTCTTACTCCTGGTATCCACTATTCAACTGTTGACACCAGCTTCGTCGATTTCAGGTGCTTTGACCAAATCATTGATTTAGATTTGCCTTCATTTAGATTAAAGTTATCTAGACATTGTACGATGTATATTAGGATATTTTTAGAGAAAATGAACCTGTAGTACTTCCTTCTGCTCCACGTTTCTCCCTTAGTTTGAAGTCTAAGGGCTCAGCCGTTTAAGGCTGTGAATGTCTTTCATGTATCGAAAATTGAAGGAATTGAATGTGCTGCATGTATTCAGCACACGAAAAACCCACTTCTTAGATAGCATCTGGCTGAATGTATACTTCTGCCACGTGTCTTGGATGTGAGGAACAACAAACTCTTTTATGAATGTGTAGTCTTGCCAACTATCCATGAAAACATGATTAGGAGATGCTTTGTTGGAGTTAGACAGAGTCATTAATGAATATTGTTTTCAGAATTATCATCTTGACATATGAAGTGATCTTGGTAAGGGACAGTTTTTCTATTTTATTAGAGGACAACAAAGTAGGGTAATTTGAGGGGATTATAGTAAGCAGAGATCTGAAAAATTGAGAGGTCCCATGGGATTTTTTTGAGCATAGTTTTGATTATGCTTTAGCACCTCAGCTGTAGGTCCTAGAGCAAAATCCAAGGGCTTCTTGATTGATGGGAGTGCTTTTAATCCAATCCATTTGATGGTAGATTTCTCAAAAGATGCATCAGTACACTCTCAAATATTTTGGAAGTTTTAATGGTAAACATTGGCAACAATTTGGCCCTAATTGCACTTGCTATGTCATGTAAACATCATATAATTTAGAATAGTAGTAACATTTGTCATATTTTGGTCAAAAAAATATTTAATAGCTAATCAAATGATGGATCAATTATATGCATAAGATTGATTTATTAGTATAGAATCTAATACAATATTTTTTATGCTATTTATAAATATCTATCTCAAATAGATATAGTCAAATATAGTTGATTCTTTTCTAAAATTCTTCCAAAAAATCAAAATAATAAAATATATTCAACTATACAAAGCAACCAAAATCTACAAGTGCACCAAATATGATTAGCATTGTTTTAGCTTGACATAAAAAAATAAGGTGTTAAAGAAGATTAAGAATGATAATATGATGGTTGATAAGATCTAAGTCTAGTTTTGTACACAACTACCAAATTTTCATATTGATGCTTAACAAGGGCCATCTATTTCTCAATGCTTACTTGCACTTATTTTATTTTTGTTGTTATTTAGTAGCTTTCATATAAAAATCATTCACAAACATCTAACATTACATATATATTTTATTGTATGAATTGATTGGCTATTTAATAGATTTATGATGGATCTTCACTTTTATTGAAAGATTCTTAATAAATACAAATAAGAATCTTAAATTTTTTATTTATTATAAAATATATATATATATATATATATATATATATTATAAAAAGTGATATTATAAAAATTCTTTTTTAGGTCTTTCAATCAAGATTTATAACTAAAAATAACTCTTAAGACTTATTATTTATTTTAACAATAAATTTTAATTCAAAAATTATTTTTTACATTAGAATAGTGTTACATCTTAATTCTATTAGAATATCTAAATCTTATAAGGCAAAATAAGGCAATGAAAATTTTTTGCTACTTCTTGGATATAAGGAATTTTATGAATTTATACCTTGTAAGATAATATATGATTTATATAAATTAATTCCATAATTACTATAATAAGAATAAAAGTACTAGAGCAAGAACTTAAAGATCAATAGAGATTTCTACTTGAGATCTTAAATCTATGGAAAGATATCCGATAGAATAATTAATTTTGTAGTAATATAAATACTAATCTTAGCATATTTTGTACCTAAATAATTAGTATAGCCAAATGTTTGTAGACTCAACATAACAACCAATTTTTCAACACCCCTCTTATTTAATATTCTATTGTTAATCTTGTTACAAAGTTAATGTGATGATTGAAGATGGCAATTTGTAAATTGGATATAACAATAAGAATTTTAGGATAGTTAATCACAAAGTTACACAAGTTTATAATTTTGCCAAAGAAAGTATGCTAATAATATAACAATGGTTTTCAAAACATTATCTAGAAACTTTCTTTGTGAATATATATATATATATATATATATATATATATATATCACAATTCAATGATAATATGCTTTAAAGAAACTTTTTCTTCAAGAATCTATTCTTGTACAAAGTAATATTTTGCTATAATGTCCTAAATCCTTGCATAAAATATGAGATTTTGAATAAGACAAATTGAACCTATATTATTATACTTGAAATAAAAATTATGTATTATGGAAATGTGAACTTCAAAAAAATGAGACTAAATCAATTTATTTGATGAATATACTTGTATCTTGGTGTGATCTCTCAATTATACTCTAAAATTTAAATTTTTGTTATTTTTCTATTTTATGATAATTAAACATGTTAGATTAGGATTTATATAAGTAGAATTTAGTTTTATAGAATTTTTAGGATTACAACCCTTGATGGTATAAATTATAGCCTAATTCCTTGAATTAGATTAATCAGGACTAAAGTTATAAGAGTTAGAAAATTAGAATAGCAACTTAGTTAGTTTAATAATTTAGAGGTTTTTAGTCATTACTATAAGGGTTGAATAAAAGCCTATGAGTTCATCTATAATCATTCACATGATTTAGGAGTTGGAATTATAATTCTCTAAAAGATTTAGAGAAGTTAGCAATGATAATTTTGGATTTTCTTCCAAATTCGACAAATTCAAGCGGCATGGTGGTTCTTCTACTTAATGGGAGTCTTTTTAATGCAATGGTGGCACCGGATATACCTTGTGGAGTGAAGAAAACAAGATTAGCAACCTCTCCTTCAAAATACAATAGAAGCAATGAAATTTTCATTTTGAAGAATTTCACAAAAATTACGAAGATCCTTGTAAGTAAAAATTTCCATGAAAATTATAATTGAGCGTGGATTGAGGCATGTGAGTAGTTGATCTTAGCTTAAAAAGGTGTTTTGAACACAATAGTGAAGTTAGATTTACAAAAAAAATGCTTTCTTGACCACTTACAAGAGCCATCAGCCTTGATAACGAGATTGGCTATTGGATGAATGAAGGCCGTAGATCTAGATTAGGGATCTTAAAAATCAAGGGTGGAGATGTAGCCACCCTTCTACGAGCCTCCACTCAATTGTATAAGAGAGGCTTGATTTTCCAAGCCTTCTCTCTCTCCTCTTTTGAGTGAAGGGCGGAGCCATGCCAAAATTTGGCTGAAACCATAATCTTAATTTTATTTAGATTTTAATTCTCATTGTGAACCTTGTGATTGTGTATGTATGGATTTTGTATTGTGAAGGATGGTCATTAAGTTTTAAAATATGTTTCATTGAGATAGATATCTCCTCGGCCTTTCAAATACCCCAAGGATTTCAAGGGCCTCGGATTTTCTTCAATAAATCACTCAATTTCTATTTTTTCAATTTGAGATTCTTAATATTTGTAGATTTTGTTGTTAGATTTTCAACAAGATAAAACTTGCTTGATTCGGAGCAAGAAGGAAGTTTTGGTGAATTTTTGAGTTTGAGGGAGTCGACTGCCTTTGCAGTTTGAATCAATCAAGTTTGGAAAGGCATTTCTCAGTGCGTGGTGGTTGGATTTATTTTAAATTTTGGAAGCATCAAGATTTATAAGCTAAGCTCTAAAAGGCACAAGTTTTGGTGAATTTTAAGACAATCTGAATTTTTAGTGAATTTCTAAGTGAAGAGGGTTGGTCACCGCGGCAGTTTGGATCACTCAACTTCAAAGGAAGAATTCTCACGACTGGATCATTAGATTGCAACGAGGATTGTTGGATCAAAAGCGTCTTCAAGTCAGCCTTGCAACAAGCTAAGAATCATTCAAATTGAAGCTGATTACAAATTTTGGAAAATTTTGGAGTAGAAGAGGGTCGCTGCTTTCAATCCTTATGTGTTGTCAAGGTACCTTCACTTTCACCTCTCTCACTTTATTTTTACTATTGTCTTGACAGTGACTCGTAAGCTCCACATTTCACATTTTGGCTAAAAAATTTTAAGTTTAAGTTTTAACCTTTAATATTCTCACTTTAACTTTTAATTTTAATTTTTAAGTTTAACTTTTAAATTGAACTTTCAATTTTAACTTTTTACTTAACCATTAATCTTAACTTTTAACTTAATTTTTTTACTTAACCTTTTAATTTTAACTTTTAACTTAAATTTTTAATTTTAACTTTTAACTTAATCTTTTAATCTTAATTTTTAACTTTAACTTTTTTTTAACTTAATTTTTAACTTAGCTTTTAATTTAAACTTAAGTTTTTATTCTTATGGTCAATTAATAGTAATAAATAAGTTAATTATTTTTATTATGTTTGCAAAGTAAATTTTATTTAACATGTTAATTTAATGTTGGTAACCATTGCTAGGAAGGCCTAAAACTAATTGAATTTTTAATA